TTTCCTCTTCACTGCTTTTGCGCAACAGAAACGACCCGTTTTTGGACCGAATTGTCACCTGTGATGAAAAGTGGATCATGTATGATAACAGGAGACGTTCCGGACAGTGGTTGGATGCCGACGAACCACCGAGGTAATTTTCAAAGCCGAACCCTCACGAAAAAAGATTATGGTCACAGTGTGGTGGTCATCGGCTGGTGTGATCCACTATAACTTTTTGTCACCAGGCCAAACCATCACAGCAGAGTCCTATGAAGAACAAATCACTATCCATAAATTGAACGAATTCAGAACTTCCTTGCTGGAAAATACTATTTGGATTAAATCCGATGAGTATTAAGAAAAGTTACGATCGTTTAAAGTGAAACACCCAAAACGCTGAGAACTTTCCGGACAACCTAATACATGGCCATCTTCCCTTCTTTAGTCGACATCACAAAGAGGCAATATTAGAAAGAGAGGGCATAAAAGGTGTAATGATAGAAAGCTTTGCAGAAAGGCCCCCAGCATTCTACACTGCACAGTGCCGCATCTTAGCTAATGTCTTCATTTGCAGAGAACACAAAAACATAAATCCTTATAATAACACATACTCTTTTTTTTCTTCGCCTGTAATAAGATATTCAGCAAAATTACCTCTATGTATGGCAACAGTCCAAATAGCGTCGATATTCTTTCCGTGACTGCATTGTGATCATATGATGGGTTACTGAGTCTGATATGATTCACCAATGCTGACTGATATTTTTTCAGAGCTGTCTCAACCAGGAAGCGGTCGGGTGACCGGAAGTGAAGGTAGGGTGCTGAAATCCACGTATTACATAGATCTGGTTAAATGTAGATTGTATACTAACCTCCGAGAACCCTGGTCTTTGCCGCGTGAATGGGTCTGCAGCCGCAGCAGCATGCCTTGTCTCCGTTGCGGTGTTGGATAGCAGTTATAGTTATAAAACAATAACAGCTTGAAACTGTAATGATTGTCGTAGAGCAGGAATAAAACATATGTGATTCTCCTTGCGGGCAAACCCTTCACTCACCTCTGAAGACGATCCTCTCCATGTGCAGGGTGAATGGGTCTGCAAACGCAGTAGCGTGCCACATTCTCCGGTCAAAAGTGCACAAGAAGAGAGAGTATGGGGTGTTCTTCTCTGGTCTAGTCTCCGTCTGGTTTAAAATTCATAGGATCCGCATGCAGTTTCCAAGCTCCGCCCACGCTGCTGCACGGCCGCCCACACTCCTGACCATGGCCAAATGCGCTACTTGTCTGCGTCCCCGCGCCTATGGTTGTTGCCTTACAGCTAAATGCGATGTTTTCCCATTGGTATCGATGTACGCGTTAACATGGTTCGTAGCAGAGGACGAAATCGAGGTGGGGGGGAGTTATCTCGAAAATTCTCCCTAGCGGCAAAGCACTTGCCTCGTCCTTTACCGCTCCAATCCCCATCGCAATTCGTCCTCTGCTACGAACCCCAATCCGTCCCCCCGCTGGAAAACTGATTTTTTCCTGTAAATTGAACGGTGCGTCTATTTCACATCGTTTGGATTCCTTCCAAACGATAGTGGAATAGCGCCCGTGGAAAAGGGGGGGGGGGCGGGGGGGGGGCCAGGAAAAAACTCAGTTCTCAAAAAAAACTGGTTTCTCAATTGTCCACACCAAATGGGGCGACCATCTCTCCCCCTCCTCCTCTAAAGAAACCGGATACGACCCCCTTTTCCTGGGATTCCTCCAAACGTAGGGAGGTGCTCTGGCAGACGACAAAACCAGTAACATCTCGCATTAGAAGGCAAAACGCATACTCATTCTTCTTGGCACTTTTGACCGGAGAATGTGGCACGCTACTGCGTTTGCAGACCCATTCACCCTGCACATGGAGAGGATCGTCTTCAGAGGTGAGTGAAGGGTTTGCCCGCAAGGAGAATCACATATGTTTTATTCCTGCTCTACGACAATCATTACAGTTTCAAGCTGTTATTGTTTTATAACTATAACTGCTATCCAACACCGCAGTGCGCGATCCGAAAGTCATCACGGGCCGAGTTGCTGAAGTTGTGGGGCAGAAAGTCACACGGGACGAGATTTGAACCCCGATTTCTCCGCTTTTACCGGGCGGTTGCAATCCCTATTACGCAACCGGGGCCACTCTTGCCCTCTCAGCTCAATGGCCATTTGTGCAATTGCCTTCGAGCACTCACACGTTCAACGCGCGATGAGGCGGGTTAGGCCGAATATCGGCAGTGAACCGCAGGGTGAAAGACTTTTACCAGTTCCAAGCTGTTATTTGTGTGAACTTTGTGCCCACAAACTCAGGCTACTCTTGTGTTTCCGCCACCCTCGCGGGCACTGTGGCTCGTTAAAACAAAGGCAGTTATCAAACAATTAGCATCTGCGAAAAAACTTTGTGGAAAAGCGTTCAGCCTTTGGAGGGTTTCGCCTGACGATTATCGGCTGGACGGCTCATCACGGTTGAAAACGGGTGAGTGCTCGAACGGCCCAATGGCACAAATTGTAGCTAATTGTACTGAGAGAGCAAGAGTCCGGTAGCGCAAATGGCGGGTTCGAATCCCGCGTGACGTGGCGGGACTTTTGCCCACAACTCAAACCACTCCTTGTGATGAAATCATTATAGTGTTGGCAAACGGGAGCAGTAGAGTTATAGCTTTGAAAGACTGCTTTTAAAGGAAACCTATCATTTCCAATCGTGCAAGCAACAAAGCAGCATGTTATCTGAGTTCTAAAAAAAGGAGGACCCCCCCCCTTCAGCCTCCCATAGCGCGATTGCAGGCATGTGCACGGGAGCGTTACCGAGTGCGCTTTCACAGGAAACGGGACGTCAGATCAGGAGACAAGAAAACCATAATTTCCTGCGCCGGCGCGCACGGCGCATCGCGCGTGCGTTTGAGGGAGATTTCCCACTAGGGCCCCAAAAAAAAACGTACCAACCCCCAAAAAAGGGGGACTCATACCGACTCGACTAAAATCCCGAACCAATGATGTGCCGCTTGTTTCGCACACATGTGGAGGGCGGGGCTAACATCCATAATCTCAGTGGGACCTCTCCTGTTTGAACAGCCCACTTACCAGTAAGTGTAGTACTGTGGAAAACTTTTACGTTGAAATATATCCACTCGCTGCACGCAGCAACGACATCGCTGGGCAGGCTCACCAGCGCGGCGAACTACTATTGTATTGTCACAGCTCCCCCCGTTATACCCACGTAGCGGCGACAATTGTGCGGCAACCTGACCAGGACCTAATTAGTCTATCGCGGAACTGCCGTAGCATGTCTGCGCACCCAAAATTCCCGCTGAACTTGCTCATCCACTGGTCTCTCATTACGTATCGATAAGAACTGCCATCTTCTCGAGTGGCAGTTCTTATCGATACGAGTCGCTCGCAAGCAAGGCTAACTGAACGACAAGACTGGGAAAAAAGGCCCACTCACGGCGCCCTAGAGACCTTCCCCGCTCGACGGCGAAATTTCGGTGAAATTGCTAAGATGGTCGTGAGGAGGAGGGGTATCCCAATGAGGCAGGAATGTTTGAGCACGAGCACTGACACCGTCGGTGGCGATTGCGTTTTCTATCCTCTTGCATACTCGGCCAGAGCTTGCTTGCGAGCGACTCAACTGCTGTTGAGCCTGCTCACTTTAAGTGCAGAAGATGAAATTGCTGTGCAGAACATCCAAGCACTTACTGTTGAAGAGACTGATGAGCTTCATCAGAAGGTACTCTTCCCTAGTGATGGCAATTTTTCTGAAGACTGATGTGATGGCATTCTGTATAACGCATGAAAGAGAAGAAAGGAAGTCCCTCAATCTGGAAAAATATTTCATTATCGTGAAAATTACTCCCTTCTCAACGTGATAGCTTACTTCTCGTCATGAAGTTCTGTAGGGGTAAAGCAGACACCGCTTCCGAATACAATGCCATCATGGCCTTGTCGATACGTCCAATATGAGAGCGTGAAGCAGATAACCTTGCACAATTGACTGGTGACAAGTTTTAACTAAAAAACAGATATTTGTTGAAATTGTTACTCGTTTGTTTATATACTAGTAAACACCGACATGGACACACCCAGAGGATTATCAAAAACGAGATGGATAAGCGATAAGTTTCAGTAGTGTGAAACGTACTTCACCTTGAATAAGTAGGACTCTGTTAGCCGGGTACAGCATCGTGATGTGTGAAATGGTGGCGTCAATACAACCCCACACCCCCCGAAAAGGATTCTGGTACGACTTCCTCATTTTCCGGCTCTAATTGGCAACGAATCGCAAACGCAGCGTAATGATCTCATGGCAAATCAGCGACAGAGCAGATCTGTTGGCCGGATGGAAATCGCGTGGCTTTTTCTGGTGTGTGGGGCTCTTGAGAAACGGAAGGCGGTGTGTCGAAACAATGTCTCTCTCCGTCATTTTCTACCGAGACTTGGCAGTCTATCCCTCCCCATATCGGAAATATTTTTTTCGGATGGGCTAATATCGAACGAGTATTTAAAATGTCAAAGGGCGGGTGTTTTATAGCTTCAGACGAAAGAATATCTTCTACCAAACGCAATTTATTAAAAATGCCTATCAGGCCCGCAGACATTTCCGTTTCACGCAACCAAGCTCTCAAGTTTTGAGACGGCCGCTTAATTTTATAAATATCAAGATGGTTCAGCCCTGGCGGACATTCTGAGCCGGGGGAGGGGGGGGGGGCTAGGGAAAACTCTAACACTACATTTAAGATACCTATTGGGGACGTAAATATACTTCCAAAACACGTATCCCGGTGGAACTGAGTGCAAGCATAATTTGTTATCACAATCGGGATCAAAACGGTCTGTGGTGGGTCGTCGGTGGCATGAAGGCTTAGCTATAATGCAGAGGTTGGGGAAAAACGGCTCGATACCGACATCCTTTCAGCGCTGGCGACTTTTGGGGACATTATGCGCCAATTTGGGCGCTCCACGACTTATCGGGGGGGGGCTGGCCGCTCGTTTTTTTCACAAGTTGGGATTCAAAAAAACTGGCCATTGGTTAATCGGACATCCCATGGACAACGGAATTCACTGGGTTTCGGGAATATCTGGTCGGTTTAAAACTTGGTAACGTAGGGTAAACGCAGGGGAGTTCGAAACAAAATGGCGCCAACGCCAGACATAAAGTGTTGGATTCGTAATTAAGGAAGACTTCGAACCGTAACCCCACCGCGCCATATGCCGGAAGTTTTTCATTCGACTTTGGTGAATAAAGTGGCATTAATGGAGCATAATGGCGCCATGATATCGCAAGGCGCTTTGCCAACGGACGTGACTTGCGTGAGTCATCGACAAGTCGAATTACACCTATAAGCAACGTTTCAACGGAAATTTTTCAGTTTTTGGTTTGGGCGTAGGGTTCAATATGCCCGAACGTATTAAACGGCTGGGCTTTAACCTAGCCTATAACTGCCGTTTAGAAAATTGTCTTTGAGAGCTGTCAGTGGTGTACGGAAATCAATGTCATACTTGCAGACATTAGCACTGAGTCATGGCTTGTTGACTCGCTATCGTACAACCGAGGCACGTCCTGCCATTGGAGGAAAACAAAATACGACCACCGAGATCTGCACCTTTTCTGTGCCTCTCCTGTATACCGCCTTCCTGAATTCTCAGGATTTCCCCACTACATTTCTGTTCTTCTCTTCGATTTTCCCTCAAAAAAACTGCAGTTGAGGTAGGGAAGGGGGTTGAAGGAAGGGAATGGTGAGGGAATGAGGGATACATATCGTACATAAACCGGGGAAAACCGGAAATTCTTCTGAGTCAAATGCAACACCCACTTTCCAGCGACCACATACCACTACCTCGCTGAGGATCTCCAACGTACAGCGTGCCTTGGCCGCAACACTCCTGTCAGTTACGTATTGGTAGGGAACCCTCGTGAGACTTTTAGTGATATCGTTTTGACCTTCCTCGCGGCAATGTCTATGTGTAAACTATAATATTGCAACGGGGCAGTGGCAGGAGGGACAGACCAGGCCCCCTTCGGCTGCTTCGCCCTTCCAATTTGACCGACTAGTTATCTACTTAGGAAAAAACAAGCAATGGCGAAAACACCATTAGTGTCATTACCATTAGTTCATTAAAGGCAGCGCCCGCGTTCAAATTTAATGAGTATGCGGCTCAGGTAGTAACAGCGAGGTAGCAAGAAGCCTATTAGTGAAGAAAAATCAAAGAGAAAACACGCAAAATGCCCTAGAAGGAGTTTCATACCGAACAACGGTTGTACGTGCTTAAGGCGAAGAGAAGGAGTGATTGCACGAGTTTCCACTTGTTCATATCAGCTGTTTTCCCTTATCACCTCACTCTCACCACTCCACGTGGAGAGCAGCAATGGAACAACCGCACCATCAGGCAACCATTAGAAATGAAGTTGGGTGGCGTGGTCGGCAGGTGGGCGGAGCCGTCGGCTCTTTGCGGGCGGACGCCGCTGTTCCGTCGCATTTTTGGGTTGCGAAACATGCACGTCCACCATCCTCATAGGGGGAGCTACTAGATCCAGAGAGGGCGTGAGAACAACAAATGAACGCGGGCGCTGCCTTTAAGTCCTTGCTGACCGGCCCTCTGACTGCGATGTTACGAACGGGCTGTGATCAACATAGAGGACAGTTTACGTTCCAATTATGTCGTCCCCGTCAAGTTAAAGGCAGTTGGCACGATGATTTGGTGCTCGGCCTAAAATGCTAGTAGGGCGCTATATAGTGGGGAAATGGCGAAAGAACGGAGTGAAACGGTCAAAATCCTGCGAAGAAAAAGCCTCCGTTCTCAGTGACTTGAAAATCGATTTCGGACGAGTTTCCCGTAATCACACGCTACCGAAGATACGGCTGCATATGTGTACCCATATATGCATGCAGCATCACGGCCGCTTCATACCAATCCCTTTGCTTCATAATTTGCTCAGCAAATGAATGAATACGAGCGTCAGAAACGGTCGTCCGTTTGTGGGCGGGCGGGCAAGGAAGGCGTTTGGGACGTAAAGTTGTTGCTCGATGAAACTCTTATAAGGTTGCCTTACTCGAGAAAACCGCTATGCAGCACCTGTCCGAGGTAATGGAATTCTGTTAAGCCGGTCGTATAAATTCTACATCTGTATAGCGATTTATCGTGCCAACTGCCTTTAAGCGAGCGAATCAAAGAACACCTTGAACGCATGAGGCACGATGATTTGATATTTGATCACAAATAGTAGCTGCGCTGCTGTGTAGTGGGTAAATGGCGAAAAATCGAAGTGAGACGGCCAGAAACCTGCAAAGAAGCTTTGTTCTGCATGCCACTGGAAGAGCATTCTTGAACGTGTTTCCCGTTGGATCGTGCCAGGAACCGCCTTAGTAGATATGGCAGCATGTGCATTGATATATCCATGCAGCAACGCCTCACATCAATTGCACTTCATAAATGAAGCAACAAGAGCACCAGCATCGATGGGACTGTACGGCCCTTTGTGGGCGGGCGCCTGCCATGGGGTGCGATTTGTTGGCAGTTGCTTGGTTGGACACTCAGACGGTTCCCGCTTGGTTGGAAAAGGGAGGCAGCTGCTTGGCTAGGGGCACAATATTCTTTTTGTGCTAGGCGTATCAACCTGTACGCCTTGCCGATTTATCTTGTTACCTGCCTTTAATTATCACCGGCTCCTTGGCTATTTCATAATTCACAGAACCCACCTTCTCTTGCACATCCATTAAGCGCAACTCTGGCACACCAGCCACCCATTCGAAGTAGTGCGCCACATCCCTACACCACATTGTCTTCAGATTTCTCAACGTGAGTTGTCGGCATTCGTTCGTTTCAGTCTAAACTCTCAGCTTGATACATTAGAACCGTTTCGGGTAGGTTCATCAGGATTAATGAGATACTTTTGAAAAATGCTCAGAAACTATCTCGAAACGCTCAGAACCAATGAGAACGTCCTTAAAAGGTTCTTACCGGCACCCTCGTGGAGATTCTCTGTGGGAAATGAAGGGCTTCTTCGAGGGAGATGTCAACGGAACAGCTTGGTGTTGATTCGTAAAAGCTACTGTCAGGGGCATCACAATACCTGAAGCAGGTATTTCTCACCTTTCAGTGAAGAATGATGTTGAGAAGAGGAATATGTTCCTTTTAGCATCGTTTTAAAGCATGCAATTGCCGCCACCTAATTTCCTTTGCACACTCACATTTCTAAATTGTTGAAAGCCCTGAGCAGCTGCTCAATATCCATATTGCTCGAATTCATGGCAACACGGTGGCCAAATAGGGATGCTGGCTGAAAATGGCAGGTATTGAGAAGGGAAACGTGCAGATTCAAATCCAAATCCTTTTCTTTGCGCTAGTTTTACTGGGAACTCTTATCAATAACTTTGACCTAAACTTCCAGATAAATGTGCTGATTTCCTCAGCGAAGAATGTCCTTCAGTTCAGGTGTACATGAATTCCAAGCAGGGGAACCAGAGGAATGAATTTATCTGATTCCCACGAAGTTTCTCGCCCCTGGTTCCGCATGCGCGCACGAAGTTCTGTTCGCTATCGTATTTTAGGGATGAACTCTTGGAAAATAAGCTCTACTTCATCAACGTACGACAGAAAATTCGCTTGCTTCTGTTGCTCCACTCCCATTCAAAAAAGGGACCTCTGGAACTTCCAGCTACCGTGGCCAAGGGTCATGTTTACACTAACCTAAGTAGTCCTTGACGGGAGTGGTAGAAGGAGGTTGCCTCTGCCTGGGACCTCGTTGTTTCTTTCCTGCGCGATGTACCTATGATTCGCCTGTTTTGCAGTCGTCGCTAGTCCCAGCCCCGCTGAACGCATTTTAGGGGAGGAAATGGAGGGAATCATCCAGTCGTTGTTACTATAGGCTTAGGGAGAATGTATCTGGGCACGCTCCTCCCATGCAATGATAATGGTATGATGCGTTAACGAAACCAGTTTCATTTTTTACGCCACTGATACGCTGGGGGTAAGCACGATGCCCCTCCCCTTCTTCACCTCGCCCCTGATGAGTTACTCAATTCCTTGATTCGCACATTTCGTTTTAAATCGGAATATAGGTGAGGTTTCAATGCAACAGCCAATATACAAGTTAGTGACTATATCCTCCTCGACAAATCTGGCTTCAATTCATTAGCCATGCAAGCATGAGAAATTTGGATGGTCCGGGGCTGTCTTATCCAAGACCTGGTCCTAATACATGCATGGTGAGCAGTACAAAAAGATTTATTAGTGCAGGAAGCATAAGCCAACCTTACTTCATCTGAAGGAGACATGGGCGCTCTTGTCCAAGCATGCACCCTTAGCAATAAGGGCTCTCAAAGGGCTCGCTGCCTACCGAATAACTTCCAATAATACC